GGGATTTCATCAAGACAAAAAGCTTCCGCACAGTGAAGGAAACAGTAAAGAAAAGAAAACTAAAAGGCAGCCTACAGAATGGGAGAAGCTATTTGCAAATGATATATCTGATAAAGTGTTAGGATCCAAAATCTGGAAAGAACTTAAACTCAAAACCCCAAAACCATATAATCCAGTTTAAAAATGGGCAGAAGACATGAACAGACATTTTTCCAAAAAAGACATCCAGATGGCCAACAGACACATGAAAAGGTGCTCAACAACACTCATCATCAGGGAAATACAAATCGAAACCACAATGAAATACCATTTCATACCTGTCAGGATGGCTCAAATTGACAACACAGGAAACAAGAGATGTTGGCAAGGACTAGGAGAAAGGGGAAACCCTATTATATTGTAAACTGGTGCAGCCACTCTGGAAAACAGTATGGAGGTTCCTCAAGAAGTTAAAAATAGAGCTACTCTATGACCCAGCAATTGCCCTACTAGATATTTACCCAAAGGATACAAATGTAGTGATTCAAAGGGGCACATACACCCCCAATGTTTATAGTAGCACTATCCACAATAGCCAAAATATGGGAAAAGTTCAAATGTCCATCAACTGACAAATGGATAAAGAAGACGTGGTGTGTGTGTCTGTATACAAAACATATACAGACACACACAAAATGGAATATTACTCAGCCATCAGAAAGAATGAAATCTTGCCATTTGCTGTGACACAGGAACCAGGGTGTGTGATGGTAAGTGAAACAAGTCAGAGAAAGACAAATACCTTATGATTTCACTCATGTGGAATTTAAGAAACAAAACAGATGAGCATAGGGGAAGGAGAAAAAAGGTGTTGGGGGGGGACAAACCATAAGAGCCTCTTAACTATAGAGAACAAACTGAGTGTTGATGGAAGGATGGGGGATGCTAAATGGGTGTTGGGTAGTAAGAAAGCACTTGTTATTACAAGAACTGGGTATTATATGTAAGTGATGAGTCACCTAAATTCTACTCCTGAAACCAATATTACACTATATGTTAACTGGAATTGAAATAAAAATTTGAAAAACTGTATTTAAAAGACATTTAATCCTCTGTGTCACATCATTAAAATTAGTATGTATATTATTGATGCATTTTTTAAGTTGTTTCTCTCTTCCTGAAAATCAAAATCAAAATTTTGATTTGGCTTTACAAGTTGCAAAAGCAACTTGGAATTAATAAAAAATAATTCTCATTGCTTAAAAAAATAAAATCTGCAATTCAAAATTTTATTAGGTCACCTGTTCTTTCCTTTCTTCATTATAAATTATTAGATTTCGCTTTTCCATCCTTGGTTCTTTCTACTATTGGAAAACTGTCAGTTGACATCTGTGAAATTATCTGGGAAACAAGAGAAGTTATCATGTTCTAGAGGCCAATGTTTTTATTGTAAATGGGACTAAAATTGGAATCCTTGAAGAATAGAAACATTGTATTTAGTAATACAGGAAGTAAATGAAGTTGAAACTGTTCTCAGTCTTTATATCATTGTAACAGCAAGCCTTCCAAATTTTATTTGATCAGGCTCACATTTCAAATAACAGATTGAAATAGTGGTCTATACCCTTAACTCTGCTTGCTTACCTTTCATTTTCCTCTCAACTGTAATGCAAAGCATGTGCTATCTGCCACATGCCCACAATGAATATTTAGTTCTTTTACTCCCCTTTCTGTCTGTCTCTTCTTAAACCACTAACAGTGCCCTCTGGCCAAACCCAATGAACTGATGTTGCCATGACAGTACTGCACTTACACAAGCTTTACGCACTGACTGTTTTCCTCACATGGGATCCAAAACCTCACCCTGTCTTGGGGTGCCAGGGTAGCTCAGTCAGTTAATTGTCCAAGTGTCGGTTTCAGTTCAGGTCATGATCTCGGGGCCCTGGGATTGAGCCCTGTGTCAGGCTCCATGCTCAAGGCAGAGTGTGCTTGGGATTCTCTCCCTCTCTCCCTCTACATGCACCCTCTCTCACACACAAATAAATAAATCTTATTTAAAAAAACAAAAACACCTTAGCCTGTCTTGACCCTTCTTTTTCTCAAAGTCTTTAGTGCTTCTGCAGCTTCCTCCTTTCAGAGACCAGTGCTAGGCTTCTATCCTCAGTCTCTGTCTTATCCACAGCCTCTCTGGGAAATGTCATCCATTCTTATAGCTTCATTTTTTCACTTCTAACTTCTTGGTCCTTACAAAACCTGATACACCATGGCTCTTCCCCTGCCCAATGAGAGAAGTCCAAACTCTTGAATGTAGCATCAATTCTTCTAACTGTACTGTAAGAGCATGTTATGAGCACATTTCTATATTCCCACTGCCCAGCCAGGCGAAACTGGGTGTGCCCTCAATTAAAGTCTTGTGGGAGAGAGGGATTCTTTGAATTAGCCAAAGTACTTTGAGTTTCCTTTCTCAACACCTCTTTCCCCTCCATTTCCTAGAACTCCTGCCCTGTCCCACTCATCATCCTCCACAGAATTCTGATCTGCATCTGCTTACATTTTGTCCTCATTCTAGAGCAAGAGTATACAAACTCCTTTCCTGCTTATCCCATCTCTCTGTCCCAACCCAATCCCAGCATCTCTACATTGGCAGAAAGCTCCCACGGTGTGGAAATCATTATCATCATCATCCTAATACAAAATCTTGGCTAGGTGTAAAATCTGTGAAATTTGCTGATGACTTATAGCAGAATTATCCCGTTCTGTTCTAGCTTTATACCACTTTACACTTGACATATAATGGGAAGGCATTAATCATGGAGGTCTGTCTTCCCACACCACTCCTCAAGAGACTCAATTTCTGTTTTGTCTCATACTCAATTCACTTCCTTGAATGTAAGCAGGCATTCAGGAAAGTGCAGTCAGTAAGAATGCCTTCAAGCTTACAAGTTAGTAGGGGAGATAAGATATGTACATAATTCTAAAGTGTATGGTAAATGATAATAAATTCAAACAGCGTCTTATGCCTCTTATGGCCTGTAAGGACAACAAATATTGTACTGAAAGGCAACCATCTGGGTCAGAGATTTTCAAGGTGACAAATATGCACACAAATTCTTGACCTTTTTTCTTTCACTAAACTCAGTATTCCTGTTCCAGTTATTATGCCCCTCTGTAGTGACTCCCACAGGAAACAAAAATACACACACACCCCCACATTTTATCTCCACTGAGTTCTTTCCTCCATAGTTACAGGAAAAAAAGTTATCTGATCCAGACCTCTTTCATATGACAGTTTGTCAAATTTTGTGTACAGTCATGAACACTTTTCTCCTTTGCAGGTTAAATATACCCAGACCCTTCAATTATGTAATGTATTTATCACTATCCTAGTCACTCCTCCAGAACTGGCCAACTGTATCACAAGTCATCAATGCTGAAAAATGAGTCCAGAAATGTCCTAATGAATCCCTTTCTCAGGCCTGAAAGTCTTATTCTCAACTAGTCCTCTTCTGCATAACTACCTTACCTGCATATGGCACTTGACAGCAAGCACGTTTTTTCTTTTCTACTCTCCCACCTCTATCCCTTCCTGGTTCAGGCCCTCATCACCCCAGGCCTGCGTCCTGTGTCCATTTTTTGCTTCCCTACCTGCTGGTGCAATCCCTGGGCTCCTTACACAGCACTGTCACATGTGAATCAGCAAACACTCCGTTGAGCTGTGCATCACTCATTGTGATGTGCAGTGCTCATGCTTCAGAGCATCAATTATGAGCAAGACAATGCCTTTAACTACAGAGGTGACGACCATCATCTGACTATACCTACGTGTAGAGAGGGTTGCATTGTAACATGGGTGCACACCCAAGACCAAGGGTGGAAAACAGCATTCCAGCATAGGTTAATGGAGACGGCATTTGACTAAACTTTTAAGAATGGTTGGAATTAAAAGCAGGAGAGCATTCCAGGCTGAACCAAGAGGTGGGACCTGAGGGGTCACATGTACAGTGGTTTACTGGGCTCCTGAGCAGAGCAGAGGGATGGAAACTCTGGATGTGCAGGAGGAGCAGTACAAAGTGTTCTCGAAAGGAACATTAGGGCAGGTAAAGAATGACCCTGAGTGCCATCCTCAAGAGTCTCTTCTGGATAATCCTAGAAGAAGGGGCTGTTGGGCTCCCGGTTGCATTTCCATCTCAGTGGAAGACACTGCAGTCTCAACATTTGGACAAGAAGCCCTGCCTAGCAGCTCTTATAGAGGAGGCTGGGAAGCAGACCGGAGGCTGAAAAGCAGTTTGGGGAAAGTATCCCCAAACCTGGCAGTGCGCCCCTGGGCGAGTCGCCAATTCGCGGGAACCTCCAGGGCTGAGCTGCGGGGAGGATCGCACTGTTTCCATAGTATGGCCTCACTATAGACAGTCACTGACTTCTACTGGGACGATTTGGGAGGGTGGCCCCCGCGGTCCGTCCACAGCAGGAACCCGTTGGCCGGGAGGCAGCTGCAGGACTCCCGTGCGCGTCCCCGCGGGCGTGCGCGAGCAGCTGGAGGAGCGGACTGGGCACGTGGAACTCCGTCACAGCAGGCTGAGACCGCGTGCAGCGCCCTTTCCTCGGATTGGGCGGAATCATGCCCGGAGAAGGCAGAGACTGGTTAACCCTAGGAAGAGGGAGGAGCCTTGTCAGGGAGGGAGGCGGGACTTGGCTGCCAGTGGTGGCCCTGCCCCCTTTCGGCGTCTCGGGCGCGGGCTGGCGACGGTGAGCAGTCCCGGGAGAGTTTAGGCCTTCTAGTCATCCCAGCAACCGGTGACGCGGCCCTCATGAGGCCCACCACTGGCCAGCCGGGGAAAGCGGGGCCAGAACGTGACTCCCTACCCTGAGGAGCCTCCCAGCTCCCCACTCGGCGGCCGCGCGCTCCGCCAGCCCCTTCCTCCCTTCAATGCCCTAGTCCCGAAGTCCGGGAGGCGGGGGTCAGCGAGCCAGCCAAGTGGGAACTGCGCGGTGTACAAGGAGCCTGTCGGCGACCGGTGAGGGGACTGGGGCTGGGAGGGCAGGGTTGGCGCGGGGCAGCGATCCCCAGCTACCGCCCGTCTTCTCCCCTCGGCTCCCGGCAACTAGCGTCTGCGGCAGAGGCGAGCGCCGCTCGGCAACGAGTGACGCTGCGGCGGGGCGGGACGAGACATTGGCCAGTTCCCGCTCGCCAACGCCGGCGGCCTGCTCCTCCCAGGCCTTGCCCTCTGCCTGTCCTCCCCCGTCTTCCCCTGCTGACCTTCGGGGCCGCGGCCCCACGACGCAGACATCGCCGGGCTAACACGGACTAAAAGGGTAGTGTTGCCCACCAGGCCCCGTCGGCGTTAATCGTCCCCGACTCCTCGCTAGGTTTTCGATGGGCGGGCGCCGCGGGCGAGGAGCTGGGGTAGGACTGTGGGTAGGAAGTTTCGCCCTTGGAGAATCTGCCTAGCAACTGGTGATGAAAGGTGACTGAGGCGCCCGGATTGGCTGCCTTGCGACCTACTCAGGTGTGGCCTTCCTCTTCCGGTGGATACTTGCGCGCCCTTTCCCGGTCAGGACTAGGTAACAAGCCCTAAGCCAAGTGACCCGGCTCCCTGATTTCCTCTGAAAGCTCCCGGGGTGTGTCGTGGGGCTACAATACAGAATGCCCACGCTGTTCTAACCATGTGAAGCAGGGTTCTTTGGGGGTCAGGGAAGGCCTTACAAAACTTGCAGAACGTTCAGAATCCTTGAAGTAGAGCAAGGAGTCAGCCCCCCGTGCTCGGGATCCTCTTCAGAGGAGCTGTCCTGAAGAGGGTAAGACCTAAAAACGCAGCCACCACAGTTCTCAGACTTACACATATCTCAACCGTCTTTTCATATGAAATGTTGTGATCGCTTCCTTTACTGAGTTCTCCCAGACAGGAGTGTCTGACACCTGTCGTCCCCTGTCCAAGGTTACACAGCTAATAATGGAAGAAGCAGAATTTGGACATTTGCTACGCATGTTACGGTTCCATTTCAGTAAACCAAAGCAGTGCATTTGCAGCATATGCGGTAGATAGGGCTATGGAGGATAAGCTGACTGGTGAGAGGCCTCCTCCTCCAGTACCCTGCCATTGGGAAGAATTGTATTCCAGATGAACACATCATGTTTAAAAATCACTGGATGCCCAACTTCTTGCTAGGCCCAGGTAAGTTGCAAAACACCATGTATCATCCCTTCCCACATCCCGGTTCTGGGATGCTCTGTTCCCCTTTGGGTTGCAGTTTTGCCCATGTGTCAGAGGAAGTAAAGAATAGACTATCCTATTACGTGTGTTCTCTCCCTGCCAAGATCCCGATCTTCTCCACGGTTTCCAGTTTACAGGAAAATCTGTGTGAAGGCAAAACGTCCAAAACAGCGTACTTGGATCATGGTCAGGCTTGGGCACTTGGGATGGAAAGCAGCTGTCATTCCTATTTCTAGCAGTTCCTTAAACGTGCCAGACTGGATCTGAAGCTGAAATGGGGAACTTCTTTTGAAGTACTGGACCTTGTTTCTGTTAGGTCAGGAGTGGCTATTTTGGTGCTCTAGATTCCACACTCCATCCTTACCTAGAAAAGGGGCTGAAACCTTCCTGGAATGGATGGGACTACTATTCCCTGTTACTTTCATTGATTACTCAGAATAAAACCAAGTAAGGGGACGGGGCTGTGGGGTGTGAAGGTGCTCAGCAGAGCTTCTCTTAGGAGGGGTGATTGGAGCAGAGCCCTGAATAAAGAGGCGAAGGGACTTTACAGCTGGAACTATAAATGGGGAGGCCCCAAAGTAGGCAATTAACTTAAATAATACATTTCATTTAGCCCAATATATCCAAAATATTATTATTTCAATATATAATCAACATTAAACATTATTGAGATATTTTGCATTCTTTTTTTCATACTAAATCTTTGAAATTAGGAGTGTATTTGACCCTTACAGCCTATCTCAATTTGGACCAGCCAGTCACATTTCCAGCGCTCAGTCCCATATGGCTCATGGCTACTGTAGTGCACAGCACATCTGGGGACAGCCATGAGCCCCACTCCTGCACCAGCTTTACCCGGCTGTGGCTTCAAGATGGAGGAATTGCAAGATGATCACTTGTCTCTTCATCCTGCCCCAGAAGTATTGGCCTGGCAGAACAGATAGCCAGGAAAAAAAATCTTTGTACTAACTGAAGGACACAACTCAGAAGAAAAAGAACTAAACTGCTCTCATAGTAGATTGTTAGTTAATGTACTAAATGCTGGTTAATTACCACACTCTTGATCTGTAATATGTTAGATATGGTTAGATGGGGAATGAAATACCTGCAATATCTATTAAGAAACAAAAATAAAGTGATATATGAAACTGTTTATTTTTAATCAATTGTGAATGTTAATTTTTTCGTTAGCTTATCTTACTTAGTACCTGTTTTCAGTTACATATATTTTGTATATATTTGTACTTATAACTATTTAATATAAATGCTTGATAAGTACTAAAATATTTTAAGTATTAAACGATTAGGACTTTTCACCAACTCACATGTTATTACCTCCTTCCCTCTTTCCAAGCCCTCCTGTACTAATTTTTTTTCTCCTCCTGTACTTACTTTTTTACTTAAAATGAATTTGGTAGTATAACAACTTATAAAACTATCAGAAAAAAAAAAACTCTCAATTGGGAAACTGGTTAGGATAGTCTAGAAATCATTCTCATTTTTTTGTACAATAATAATACTTTTTTTCTTTCAGATTTCCTCCCAAGCATAGACCCCTTTGCTTCCAAGGCAAACTCCAGCATGGGGTGAGGTACAGAAGAAAGACTTCAGGGGTGTACTCTGGCACTCAGTTACCAAACCTGCCCCCTAGATCAGGGTCTGTCTCACCACATCTATAATGGGGGAAAATTTTATCTTTGTTTATATGTCATTTATGTATGCATGTTTGTGTTTGTGCATTCGTCTTACCTTCCTTGGGCCTGTGCCCTGGGAGGCAGAGGGTAGGTTCCCAGAAACTTGGCCTGAGAGGTGCCATGGTCCCTGGTGTCCCTCAAGTGAGGTGGAACCCTCACCAGCATGGTGCATTGCTCTCTTTGGCATTTGGATCAAACACTGAGTCCTAAGGGAAAGTTTTATTCACATGAGGGCAAACATTCTTTTGAACTGACAACCCAGAATAGACAGGCCAAGTATCTGGGCTGAAAGTTCCCTCTGGAAGAACTGAGACATTCTCTTTGAAGACTGCTTTCAGGTCTGCAGAGGGGCTCCTGTCCCTGCTTTTAGCTTTTGCTTAAACTCATTCTCTGTGAATAAGATGTCTGGGATTTAAAATACCACAGGCCAAAAAAAAAAAAAGAGAGAGAGTGTGTGTGGGAGAGGAGTGTGATAGATGAAATGGAATAGCAAAATGTAGATAGATATATGCTAAAGGTGAGGGATTCATGATATTATTCTTCAGTTTTTTATATTTGAAAATGTCCATTTAAACAATACTCTCCTCCAAAAAGTACTCCTTTCTTCTTTCTTTCCCTGCCTCTGTCCCCTTTGCTCATTGTAAATTCATGTTGTCCCTCTTACTTCATCCCTGCAGGGTACAGAACATTCTGCTCCAAAGGCATGAGAAGAGAACATCATATATTGGCCACTCCTGCCCAATGTGGAGGGGAGCAGAAACTCCAGAGCCCATCCCTGAAGGTTTGTGGCTTTCAAGGCTTTTTGTCAGTGGATCCCATTTTTGGGGTATTTTAACCTGAGCTCTGGGTATTTATGATGTTTCCATCTGCCAATAAGAAAATGACTGCTGATCATTTTGTTTGCTTCCTCTCCCTGACCTATTGACTGACACAGCCTATAACTCATAGCAACTATACCTAATCTCTACTGAATTTAGCTGGGACCAATCCATGAGCCTTGAGGAGAGTAGTCAGTGATGAGGCCCACAGGAGGTTCTGTACAGAAAGGCTGATCCTGCTCCCAGACAGCCACCTGGACCAACTTGTCAAAAGGACTCAGGGATAACATTTGAGATAAAAAGGATAGCAGATCAGATCCCATCCTCATAAAGGGGTTTCTCTGCTACTCTGGGTTCTCAGATCCCTGGAGCTAGGGCAATGAGAAAGGTTTACAGAATGTTTACAAACAACTTGGATGACCTGAGAATTAGGAAGGAATGTGTCTTCCTTCTCCACAGTTTTCCTGAAAATGTGAAAAGCACTTCTAGGCTAATGCCATTAACTTTCAGTATTATTCTTTTTGGATTATTCATGTTCCTTTTTGGCCTTTTCCTGGATCCTGAGTTGCTTTATCAAGGCTAGGCCAGGGAACTTTGAGGCTGTGTACTGGTGTGGAGTGATTATCAGCTACTGTCCAAAACCAAGGCAATACTTTGCCATTTCTTGGATAACCATCCCTTGCCCAGGCCCCAGCCCTTTCTGAGATTTTTGCCCAAACTGCTGCTTTTCTACAGGTTTATGCTTCATCTCATTGCCCTCCTTGTCCTTCCAGCCCAGATGTGGCTGGGTTCACATTGGTGACTTGAGAAATCAGGGTCTCAGAGGAAGGTGTTGATGTAGTTGAGGCCCAGGGGCCCTCTCATTGCCTGTCCCTCCTTGGTGTTTTCTAGTGCATGTCCAGGCCAAGACCTCTGATCTAAGAACAGAAAACAGGCTGCTGTGTACTCCTCATTCCCTGCCAAGCAGAGTTTTGGAAGCAAACTCCCTCTCTGAATCCCTCCTGCCCTTCCTGATGGCATGAGGACCACCCCCCAATACTTCTAGGAGTCCTATGGCTTTGCCTCCTCTTGGAGCGTGGAATCCAGGAGATGACCTAGCTGAGGAAGTTACAAGAAATAGGGGCCCTGTGCTTGCCTCTCCATTCCCCCAAGGTGTAGCTGTTGCAGCTGTTACTGTGGCTTACAGTGACTCTCTCCCTATAGGGTGAAGGGTGAAGGGTGAAGGGTGAACCTGGCTGCAATCCACCCTAGAAAAAGCTGCAGAGCCTGCCCACAAAAGAAGGAAGCTGACATCTGCAGGCCAGTTTTCCAGGCCTCCCCTTCTTCCCTCTGCTACTCCCTTTGTAGGCCTTCAGGAAACTGAAAATAACACGCAGTTTGAGGCGGTGGACCCTGGCGTGGGAGTGGCACACGTCCCTGCCAGCCTGGCCCCCAGCCTAGCCCTCACCATGTTCGCTGCATCAGAGGCGGCGGTGGTGGCCGCGGCGGCAGCAGGAAGGCCTTACGTGTGCAGCGAGTGTGGCAAGAACTTCAGCTACAGTTCGGTGCTGCTGCGCCACGAGCGTGCCCATGGCGGCGACAGCCGCTACCGCTGCCTCGACTGCGGGGAGCGCTACGCACTGGCCGCTGACCTCCACGCACACCGACGCGTGCACGCTGGCCAGACGCTCTACATCTGCAATGAGTGCGGCCAGAGCTTCCGTCATAATGGCCGCCTGGACCTGCACCAGAGCACACACAGACAGCGCGGCCGCTCCTGCCCCTGCCGCGCATGCGGCCGCAGCTTTCCACACCTCTCAGCTCTGCTGCTGCACCGGCGCCGCCGGCACCCCCCGGAGCGGCCCTGCCGCTGCCCTCTGTGTGCGCGCGCCTTCCGTCAGAGTGTGCTCCGCTTCCACCAGGCGCGGGCACACCCGTGGGGTACACCCATCGCGCCTCTCGACCCCCTCCACCGCTGCGCACAGTGCCCACGGGCCTTCCGCAGCTCTGCAGGGCTGAGGAGCCACACTCGCGTCCACGCGAGCCAGCGTCCGGCTCCTGAGCCGCACGCGCCGGGTGCGCACCAGTGCAGCGTGTGCGGGAAGAGCTTCGGCAAGAGCTCCACGCTAACACGACACCTGCAGCTGCACTCGGGTGAGAAGCCCTTCAAGTGCCCGGAGTGTGGGAAGGGATTCGTGGAGAGCGCCACACTGGTGCGCCACCAGCGAACGCACACGGGGGAGAAGCCATACGCGTGCGGGGACTGCGGGCGCTGCTTCAGCGAAAGTTCCACCCTGTTGCGCCACAGGCGCAGCCATCAGGGGGAGCGGCCGCACGCATGCGCCACGTGCGGCAAGGGCTTCGGGCAGCGCTCAGACCTGGTGGTGCACCAGCGCATCCACACCGGTGAGAGGCCCTTCCCGTGCACCGAGTGCGGCCGCCGCTTCGGTGACCGCTCTGACCTCACCAAGCACCGGCGCACACACACCGGCGAGAAGCCCTACCGCTGTGAGCTGTGCGGCAAACGCTTCACATGCGTCTCCAACCTCAACGTGCACCGGCGCAACCACGCCGGCCATAAGCCCCACAAGTGCCCGGAGTGCGGCAAGGCCTTCAGCGTGGCCTCCAAGCTGTCGCTGCACCGCAAGACTCACCTGGGCGAGCGGCCGGCACAGTGCGCCGAGTGCGGCAAGTGTTTCAGCCACAGCCGCTCGCTCTCCCAGCACCAGCGGGCGCACACGCGCGCTCGAGCCGCCGCCGCTGCCGCCCAAGCCACCACAGGAGCTGCACTCATCCTTGCTGGGCGAGCAGAACAGGAAAAGCCCGACTTCTTGTGTCCCAGCTGAGGGACACTTGCTGAGAAGCTTTGCTATAGTAGGCTGGTACGGATGCACTGCCACAGGGAGGTCTGTGTAAAGACAGCACGGCCGGCTGTCGCCTTTCCCCATCTTCCATGGTAGCCCTTCACCTGGACTGGGGCCGTGCCCCTACATCTACTTCCCTGGTCAGCTCTTCCTGTCCTCCACCTGGGGTGTAGGGAAGCAGGAAAACCTCCTAGACAGGAAAGAGAGCCCAGGTATGGGTATATTCCCACTGCTGCTGTTGTGCCCCCCAAGGTTTCTTTTCTGCTTTCCCACCTGGGTTCGAACTTCTCTTGTCCCATCCCCTTTTCCAGCCAGAGTCTCCTCTAGCTCTCCTTCCCGTGTTCGTTTGTTGTCCTGCCTCTTCAGATAATGATCACAGATGTGGCCACAGGGACAACCCACCCACCTTGTGGTCTTCTTGACTCTTGGTTCTACTTGAGCCTCTGCTGCTTTCTCCCTAGGCTCAGAGATGGGAAATTTGTAGGCAGAGAGATGATGGGACAGCACATTTCAGTGAAAGACATCATGCCAGAAACCACCAGCCTGCTTCCTGGCAGAGAAGGCCCACCACAGCGAAGCTGGGCAGGAGCCCTCAGCAAAGCAGCCACCAGTCCCATGGAGCACACCTGATGGTATCCATATCAAAGTGCCTCTCAGGGCAATATTCTCCAGCTAGGTGGGGGGACATTAACTTTCAGACCTAGACCGAGACCCTGTGGGGTCTATAAAGCAGAGTACTGCCAAGGGGAGCATCAGAATACTATTTCCAAATCAAGCCTGAAGCCATGGGCAAATGGAGCTCCACAGAGTCAATAGTGCAGGGCAGAAAATCTGGAATTGGCCGGTGGTTGTTTTGCTTACGACTGGTGAAATAAAGCTTGGTGTTTTGCGAGGGTTCCAGAAGCCAAAAGCCTCCTTTGTCATACCAGAGGCTACCATTCTTGCAGAATTCAGGAGTAATCCAAGAGCCAAGCCGTTTTGAAGTTCTAAGATGTCCCCTCCCAAGGTAGCTCAGTGATCTTGCATGCACAGCCCGCTTGATTTTGCACTGGAAGGCAAGACTCTTCAAGCATGTATGTTTGGTTCTCTTGATCAATGCAGAGTACGAATGTGGCTCAGGCTCACATACCTCCATTCCTGTTCCAGCTAATCCACTGGATTGACCCAGTGCTCTCCATATGTCACAGCCTGTCCTTCTTGAGTGCAAGAACAGGTATGACACTCCACAGAAAAGAACTGCAAAGTGCCAAAGCAAACTGAGAAAGAAAGCTGGGTCCTTGAGGTAGGGGTCTGCAGAGTGAGCAATACAGCCCACACCCATGGTAAACTCAGGCATATTCTAGCAGCGCCTGCTTCTAGAGATATCAGGATTCCTGCACTTCAGGTGCCAAAATACTCACTCTGCCCACGTACGTCCATGTGAAATACTGGGTTTATTCTGTCCTTTAGGAAGACTAAAGTAGCCTGGCTTTTCTGCCCCCACCCTAAACTCCCTGACACCCTGGTTTCTGGGCACCAGGCACCTGGCACTTCTCTTCCTTGCTCCTCTTCAGTCTCGAGGGTCTGGTTCCTCAGAGCTCAGGAATGCTCACTGCTGAGGGAGCACGGTCAGAGCCTGAGGAACCACAGAGGGCCTGGACTCATCACCAGACCCCAGGGTTGCAGAGGGAGAGATGCTGGGACAGGGCTCCGACGGGCCGGGTGACTCTTGTGGGACTGGGAGCAGGGCTGGATGGCTTTTGCTGCAGTGAGCTGCAACGCTGTCTGGCTTCTCGAAACGCTTGCCGCAAAACTCACAGGGGAAGAGCAGAGTAGCGGCTGTCTCTGCATGCTTGCGCCGGTGCCAGTTTAGGGAAGCCTTCTGGCGGCAGGTGAATCCACAGATCTCACACCTGAGCCAGGGACAGCGGAGGGAAGGACAGGGCTTCGGCCCATCGTGACTTCCCCAGGGGCTCCCCCTCCTTCAGCTCTGTCTTGCTGGCCCACCCGCAGTCCAACCTTCCCACCCTCCTCCCCCCACACTCACTGCAGGGGTTTCTCTCCAGTGTGGATGCGCCGGTGGATGACGAGGTTGCTGCTGGTGCGGAAAGACCGGGCGCAGAACTCACAGATGTAGTCCCGGGTGTCTGCGGGTTCACAGGGGTCACCCCAGCATCCATCCCCAGGCCATGGCCCCTCCTCAGCCCAGCCCACCTGCCAACCCTCACAGGAGTACTGGCCCCAATCAACCAGCTTATGCACGCCCCCCCAGGCCCCCAACAGTGCCCCTTGGCTGTCAGCTGCCAATCTGTTCCATTTTCCCTGAACCTGCCTCCCTACCAGCACTGACCACCTGCCCTCTGTGCTTCTCCGGCAGCTCTCACAGTCCCGCTGTGGTTTTTCTCCTATACCTCCCAAGTCTCTGGGCAGGCTCTACAGGAGGTATCCCTGCTTCTCGGGGCATTCTTTAGACATCTGTCTCACCACCACGTGTATAACCCCAAACGTACCCCTGCAGCCTTCTTCCCCATTACTCCATCACATTCCCCAAACCTCTGGCCCTAGGCCCTCTCCTCAGCCATTACTCGTGCTATTGCTTTGCCTTCTACATGTCCAGCACTCCACATTTCTGTTCCCGGACCTGCACTGACCTGGTCTCCCACCACTCTCAGCCACCACTCCCAGGGCACGCCCCATCATTGCACCTCCTTGAAATCGCCATTTCAAGCATCCCAGTTCCAGCAAGGGCCTTCTACTTTGTCCCACTACAATAAGCCTGTGACTGCAGGCTGCCAGTCCAGCAGCCTGTTGCCTTCCCACTGTCCCCCTCCACACTCCTTACCCAGATCCCTTTCTGGGGTGTCTTTGTAGCCTCCTTCACTCACACTAAGAATTCACTGGCCGCTCTCTCCCTGAGTTGTACCAAGGTAAACACAACCCTTGGCCTGTTCCAGGAATACACAGGTGTGGTATGGGGAGCAGAAACACAACCCACAATCCATTCACCTACCCCTCAGGCTTTCCTTTTCATTCACAACCACAAGTCCCAAGGGCCCAATATATGCCTCTGCATTTCATGGCCAGTTCACTCTGCCGCTCTCAAGAGTCCAGAAGGCCATTTTTCATACCACCTCCTCTCTCTGCTAGCTCATTCAGCAGTGGTCTCATTCTTCAAGTCACCAGAGAGAGAGAACCCAGAGAGAATAAGCACATAGTCCCCTGACCTCATCCATCCACCAGCTCACCTCCGCCCATATACGCGACTATTCCTTTCTCCGTCCACTGCAGTTGCCTTCCAACTGTGCAGAGACCCACTGCTTCTCCCTGACCAGAGGTTCCCTCCTTCCCCCGCAAACCCAGACATCAGTAAGCCTTTTCTCTCAGTGGGATCATTTCCATCTCTGTACTCCCAAACTCACAGCCTCCAGCTAAGACCCCATTTCTCTACCTGTCTTCACAGCAACACTCCAGAGAGTGGCCCATACTTGCTACCTCTACTTCCCCAGCTGCTCCCTGCCTTGAACTCACTTCATTCTGGCTGTCCTCCCTTGTCACACACCACCTTGTCGTCTAGTCAAAGGTGGCTTCCCACCACCACATCTAGTGGCCTGTCCTCATCTTACTCAGTCTCGTAGCACTGGCAGAACCCATCCCCCACCCCCACAGAACACTCTCTCCACTTGGGTCCTCAAATACTGCTCTTTTCATCTGCTTCACCAGGTGCTTGGGAGCTGCCCTTCCCACCTGCACTGCTCAGAACTCTCTTCTACCTAAGCTCACTCCATGTAGGTACCCTCTACCCTCAACCCCAAACACCACCCACCTGCTTGTGATGAACACATTTTACCCCCCATCATCTCTGAACTCCAGATTCACATCTTCTGGGATGTCTAAAATTAGCACGTCCCAAATAAAATGTCCCTTTCCTAAAGCCTGCCTCTCCCTTATTTCCAGGAAATCTCATCACCTCTGCCCAGTTGCTCAGGCTGGAATCCTTCAAGTCAGCCTTGATGCCCTCCTGCCAATCCACCTGTGGCCAGTCTGTCCTTCTCACAGTGGCCGTTGGGCTCTACCTTCACATTCCCATCAGCCTCCAGCCATGTCCCCCCACCAACCCAACTGGACCTGCTGTCACTGTGTGCTGCGTGTTCCTACAGTCCCATTTCTCCACATGGCAGTCACTTTGCTCCTCTTAAAGTCAGTTGTGTCCTTCTGCCATACATGACTTTATCTCGTTTGGCCAGAAGCCAAGCCATGCTGATGGTAGCCTTGGAGACCCCCAACCACCTGTCTGATCTCTTTTCCTTCCTTTCTAACTTCCTGGCCTCCGCTCCCTTCCTGGAACACACCACACAGAAGCCAGGTCAGGGCCTTCCCAGTGCTGCCCATAGACATGGACAAGCCTCAATTTCTCCTTTCACTTAGGTTTTTGTTCAAAGCATCTTCCCTTTCTACCAGAGAGACTCCTCCCTTGTGCTCTCCCTCCCCTTCCAGGCTTTTACATCTCTTTGTACCCCTCTTATCACTAGAGTGGACGTCTTATGAAGTAAGGATTTCCTTCTTTGTTCACTTTTGTATCTCAGCACCTAGAACAATCTCAGGCAGGCGGGTGCTCACCATACAGAGAATTTGAGTATGAGAGTCATCCCATGGAGGGGTGATGGGACATGCAGATAGGAGGTGATGGGCCCCACAGGGAAGTGAAGGGACCCATAAGGGCAGGGGATAGCACCCACAGGAAGAAAATGAGGAGGCATTTCTACCACTCACCACTGTGCAGTTTAACATGCTCCTTCAAGTGTTTCTTAAAGTTGAAGGACTTCCCACAGGCTGGCTCTGGGCAGGAAAAGGACTTTTGGTGGATGTGCTGGTACTTCTTGTGGTGCTAGGAAAGGAAACAGGTAATGTCAGGGAGGCCACCAGAGCTGGCCCAGCAGGCAAGGCTCCTCTGCCCGCCCCCTTTCCCCAGTAGTTCTATCACCACCAGCTCCCATCATCCTGGCCAGTCCTCATCTGACTGCGAGCCCCCCATCCCATCCTGACACCAAACTCTGCCCTAATCCTATCCTGTCCTTGACTTGCATTATCTCACATTTCTGCCACAACCTTCCTTACAAAGCCCAGTTCTCTGAACAAAAGGCCATTCTGGTGACGCTCTTGGTTCCCTAATCATGAAGTTGCTGTCTGCTGGGAATGAGAACACAATCTAGGTAGGTATGAATACCTTCTTCAATATCAGTGTATGAAAATATTGCCCAGACTGCCTACTTTACTAATAGCTCATCACGGGCATATATTATATGACGTTTTCCTAAATCTGCTTTGGAAACACACATACACACACACACACACATGCATGCTCTCAACCTGGAACACTTTAAGGGTAGTGTGTTCTTTAACTCCCTGAGTATGTCTGGGAAATTGTTCTCCTGTCTGACCGAATTTTACATCCTGGCTCTGTAAACTGCATGGGCTGTCCCCTTTTCTATAATCCCACTTTCCCGTAGTTAAACTGCTGCTTGAGGCTGCTTCAGTCTTCTTCATTAACAGCCTCCTATGTTTGACTAGCCCCACTAAAGTCCTTATCCCAGAGCTTTCCTACCACAGGGGGCTGACGTACCTGTTTCCTCTCCCAAATCCCATCTACCACCGCTTCACCATCCCTCTGATCTGGGCTCACCCTCAGCTTCAGGACGTCATCTGGGAGGGCTCTGGGTTAGGTGTGGGTCTGTGGCCCTTCCCTCTTTGTGCCTCAAACCTCTCCTGCATCTTCTGGTCCTCTGGCACTAGAACTACCCACTCCAGCCAGCAGGACCCAGTGGCTGAGTGCAAACTCTGGAATCCCAGCACAACCATGCACTAGCTTTCAGTGTGCCTCAGTCGCCTCACCTGTAGAAGGAACAGTCTTGGCACCTACTCCCTAGGGATGTTTTGGAGACCAGAAGTTGATGATCCACATCAACTGCTTAGAAAGATGCTAGCACTCCAAGACCCTGAGGAATGCCACTGTCATCCCCATGTGACCCTTGGAGGGCCCACGCAACCAGCAGTGGCGAGCAACAGCTGTGCACCTGACGCTTGGTTTTCTTATCTACAGCTGTCTGTTTAGTGATTAACTCTAGGTGAGCTCTGCAGGTCCAGCTCTTCTCTTCCTCCAAATCCACCCACACCCCAAGCTTCTTTGCTTCAGCTTCTTCTTCACCTCCGCATTTCCTTAAGCCCTTCTCATATACCTCTGAGGCCACATAGAGCCCAGTCTGTGACCCTCATGTCCTCACATTCAAATACTGCCGGTTGGAGAAGATCCTTCCACAGCCAGGGAAGTCACAAGGCAGCAGCTCTCTTTTGGCAGCTTTCCTGGGGGCGGGGGGGGGAGGATAGGCAGGAGCATAAGGACTCCCACAGGCTCTCCTCAGCCCCCTCTTCTCACTCCCCTCCCCAAGACCCCCTCCCTGAGGCATACCTAATTCTCTTGGGGCCGATCTGTGTCGTGTCCTCCTCCCAGGCCAAGGTCAGAGCAGACTGGGCCTGACTCCCAGCGCTACGGGCAACAAAGAGGGAGCAGAGGGCCTCGAGGAAGGGCCATGTCCCAGGATGCCCCTGCCCTCTGTCTCAGCCATCAGGTTACCTGGCCAGGGGCTCAGTCTGCTGGGCTGCTTGAGGTGTCCCTCTGAGTTCTGGCTGTACCCCAACTTCCGTAGGCAGAAGAGCTCCAGAACCCGATGAGGATGTTGATGAAGGTGGTACAGCAAGAGGATTGAGGGGAGCTGCTGGGGCCGGGGGTGTCTCCCCGTCCTTAAGTGCATGGGTGACAGGGGAAGGAAGTACTCTGGGGGCATCTGGATCACTGCTGAAAAGAGAAGGAAAAGAAGGGCATTATCTCCCCGGGCTCTCAGCTGGCCTTCAACCCAACCCCAGCCCCTAAATTGCCAAGATCCCAATCTCAGAACAATGCTACCCATACCCTAGGATCTATGTTCACACCTACTTTCGTCTTTCATTTTCCTCTGAGCCTACCTTCATCTCCTTTCCCCAATTCAGAGCCTCCAATTCTTTCTGCCTTCCCCACCAATAAGCCTTTCCGTTGAGTCTGGAAAGCCTGGGATCCCTGACCAGCTGTTCCCTCCCTGCTGCTCTGTTCAACATCTTTCCACAGCCCCAACTTGCTCGTCTGGGGAGGAGCTGTAGGTCCATGGGCTGGCATCACTGAGCATCTCCTCTTCATCCTCATCTTCCTCCTCCCTGTCTTCTCCTGGGGTTGGGAAGGTCTCCAGTAAGGGTCCCACTTCCCTGCTGGACCAAGAAAGGGAATCCTCAGGCTCTGCTCCCTCACCTGCGATATTCACCCAAGTCTATCCTTTCCGTACTACCCCCACCCACCCACCCCCACCCCACCTCACCTGGGCAACTTGGCCTCCGGAGTCCTCTCATCATGCTCAGATGCCAAACCTGCTGGCAAAGGTAGGGTCAAAGGGGAAGGAACTCTGGGCTGGGGGCATGAGGACACATACATTTCTAAGGTCTGAAGTGGTGGGAGGACTCTTGGGAAGGAGGAGGAGAGTGCAGAGGCTACAGGAATCGGAAGGGGTATTTTCTTTGGAGATGATATATTCACATGGTTCAAAAAATAAAAGTATAAAAAGGTACACTTTGAAAAATCTCTTTTCTGATACTGTCCCCCAATCACCTAGTTCTTCCCACAGAAAACCTGGCTTCCTACATGCCCTTCCAGAGAAATTTTATATACATTCATATATATATATATTCATTCTCCTCTTATTTTTCCACCAATGGTAACACAACATAAATCTTATTCTGTATTTTGCTTTTTATACCTAAAAATATATTTGAGGATATACTTCCTTGTCAGCATAGTTTCTCCACTGAGAAAGGATCATTTTTAGAAAATGGGGCTCTAAGCCACAGAGATGGGAACAATTCTCCCTCGCTTTTCTTCGTAACTCTTCTTTCCTGAAGCCTACCTGCAGGCTCCTGCCCGCTCCTGGCCTCCAGACACCAGCTTCTCAGGGCAGTATTTGGACAGGAAGCTGGCTTGGGCTCCTCTGGAGATATGGAGCATGAAGAGGGGCCCCAGGAGAAGGTGTGGCCTGCAGAGCACTCCCACACAAGCCCCCCATCTTGGCCCCCGGGCCCCCGAAGCCCTGGCACCAGGCTGCACTCTCGGCTGTGGGCATGAGACAGGAGCACCAGATACTGCAGACCCTTGGGAGGCAAAGGCTCAGGACCTGAAGTGGTGAAGGCAACAGTCAGGGCAAGCTGGGAAGCCTCCCACTCTCACCCTGGGACACGCCCTCACAGCCCTGTCCCCCAACGCCCTGGGCAAGGCCAGTCCCTAGTTCAGTTTACCATTCTTCAGAGCCCAGAACCCCCAAGGTTCTGAGACGTTGCTGTCTTCTCCGCAGGCTGCCCCCATCAAACTACCCTGGGCTCCCCAACTCCCCCACCTTTTCCCAAACTCACTCAGGGTCCCCTCTGCTCCAGTCCTTCCTAAGGCTGCTTCTGGGTCCTGTTGCCCCTCTCCCCTCCCTGGCTCCAGAACCCCTACCTCTAGTGATCTCCTCCCTACCTGCACAGAGCACACAGCCTGAAGAAGTGTACCTGCGAGGGGAAGGGGGCGGGGGGGAGAAGACAGGCAGTTTAGGGAGGGATCCCGGCCAGCGGGTGCCCTCAGCTCTCAGCACGCACACTTTCGGGCGCCCTATTCGCCGGGGACCAAGAAGAGGGAAAGGGACCCACAGAAGCCACCAATCGCACAGGTCTTTTGGCCGAAACGGGGCCCGTGCAGGTGGGGAGGAGCAGAGGGCCGGCCCCGCACCCGGGAAGGGGACTGGGCGTGGCGACTTGGGCGCCCTCCCACGCAGCCCCGCGCCAGCCCCTAACCGGTCCAACAGGAACTTAGCGAGCTGCGAGTGCAGGGAGAAGCCCAGCCGCTCCTTGAGGAGGCACCACTGCTCCATGTGGCCGCCCAGGCGAATGCGGCACTTGCTGCGGCGCGCGTCCAGCTGCCGCCGCTTCTCCTGCCGCCTGCGGGATGCGTCCACCGGGGAGGAAGCCATGGACACCGGGACCTACCGGGCGGAGGAGACGCGCGTGTCGGCGGGCCCGAGGCCCCGGCTCCGCCCGCCGCGGGGGCCGCAGTTGGCTCGTCCGCGACCTGGGAGCCGGACCGAGTCATTCCGGCGGCGTCCGCGGCCCCGGCACCCTCACCGCCCCGGCTGACGTTACGGCGCGTGGAAGCCAGCGCCGGGCGGCGGGCGGCAGCTAGACGGGGTCGAGGCCGAGCAATGGCCGGACCCGAGACACCGAAGCGCTGGCACGGGGCTGGGCAAGGGCGTGAGACTCACGGAGGACTTTCAACTGGGGCTGCTCGGGGGGCAGGGGCAGTTTCCCCCTGAGGAGAGCACGGGCCTTTACTGGCGGGCGGGGGACGGGGAGCTGGCGCCGCCGGGGGGTGCTCTTCGTGGCGGGGCGACCGTGGCTGGGGCCGGGTCTGGACGGCGCCCCCACCCCGGCTCGGGCCGCCCCACTTAACGCTCACTGTGCGTAGGACACGCGGATTCCGAAGGCAGCGCCCAGGCCACCGAGAGTGCCAGCCGCGGTCCACCCCCACCTAGCCTTACCTGCGATCCCCCACCCGCCCTCAGCCCGACTGCGCCTGCGCCTCCCCCGCCTCGCGCGCAGGCCCGGAGAGCCGCGGGAGGAGTAGGGCCCACCTCGCGCGCACCGCCGCCGTTTCTCTTTTAAGAGGAACCCGTCCCCCTCCGCGTCGGTGGCTGCAGCCCGGAACAGGGGTCGGGGCGGCTGGGAGGGGACGAGCCGAGGCTTCGGCGTGCGCCTGCGAATTGGCTGTGGTGCGCACTGCCTGCTGGGAGGCGTAGTTCCCGCAGGGATGGCTCGAGCTTGCCTCTGAGCTGCGGGCAAGCCGTGCGGAGGTGGCTTCTGTCGCGAGTGCCTGCGCTTGATGCGGGAAATGTATAGAGCCAGGTCCTGCCCCTGGGTGCCAGCCCCAGCCCCTCCAGCCTGCTCAGGGATGTTGCCTCCACAGCTGTTCCTGTTTTGTACCCCACCAACAATTTCTCCCTCTCAGTTGCCACCAACATGCAAACACGTGCCGCAGAATCAGCCACCCTGAAAACCACCTAGATGCCTCTCTAGAACCCAAGGGCCCATCCAGCTACGGACCCTTCCTTCTGGGGCATCAAAAGTCCTCTGAAAAGTTGCCCAGATTCACTATGGGCTCTTTTTCACTTCCCATTCTCTCTTCAGATGACTCCGGGGGAGAGTTCCTCCCCATCAAGCCATTGGAATGGTTCTTCTCAAAGTCACTTGGGGCGGCCTCTCCACCTTCAGAGCAACATCTGACAATGCAGATGTTTCCCTCCATACTCCTCTACCCCAAACCCCAATGGCTTCTAGGACTTCACACTTTTCCTGGTTTTCTACCTTCCTCATTTGCTCCTCCTTTCCTTTGCTGGACCCTCCACCACTGTACCACCAAAATCCTCATGGATTGGAACCAAGATCAAATATTCTCTTGGATCTTTTCGTGAGTGATCTACTTGTCCCATGGATTTTTTTTCTTCTAAGTTTTTTATTTAACTTGCAGTTAGTTAACATACAGAGTAATACTGGTTTCAGGTGTGGGATTTAGTGATTTCTCACATATAACACACAGTGCTCATCACAGCCTGTGCCCTGCTTCATATCCATCACTTATTTCACCCATCTCCACACCCAACTACCCTCGAGCAACGCTTAGTTGGTTCTGTATAGTTAAGAGTTACCTTTCTGGCGCCTGGGTGGCTCTGGTCATGAGCTCAGGGACCTAGGATTGAGCCCCCACCCTGACCTGCCCTCATCCCCCCTTGCTCCTGTGTGCTTTCTCTCTCAAATAAACAAGTAATTTGGGCGGGGGGGCGGGGGGAGAGTCTGTTTTTCCTCCTTGTTTTCTTCTCCCTACCTGTTAGGCTTCTTAAATTCCACATATGAGTAAAATCATTTGGTATTTATCGTTCTCTGATTCACTTATCATAATATACTTTAGCTCCATCCTGTTGCTGCAAATGGCAAGATTTCATTCTTTTTGGTGGCTGAGTGATAGAAGTATATATATGAATATACGTATATCACATCTTTATCCATTTTATCCATTCGTTAGCTGATAAAATGAACATTTGTTCTCTTTCCATAATTTAACTATTGTGGACATTGCTGCTATAAACATTGGGGCGCATGTACCCCTTCAAATCAGTATTTTTGTATCCCTTGAGTAAATACCCAGTAGTGCTATTGCTGGATCATAGGGTATTACTATTTTTACTGTTGGAGGAACTTCCATACTGTTTTCCAGGATTACTGCACCAGTTTGCATTCCCACCAACAGTGAAAGAAGCTCCCTTTTCTCCACATCCTCACCAACATCTGTTGTTCCCTCTGTTAATTTTAGCCATCATGGCACTGTGAGGTGGTATCTCATAATTTTGATTTGTAGTTCCCTGATGATGAATGATGTTGAGCATCTTTTCATGTGTCTGTTTTCTTTGGAAAAATGTCTATTCATGTCTTCCACCTATTATTTAAGTGGATTATTTGTTTTTTTGGGGGGGTGTTTAGTTTAATAAGTTCTTTATATATTTTGGACAGTAACCCTTTATCAGACATATCATTTGCAATTATCTCCTCCCATTCCATAGGCTGCCTTTTAGTTTTGTTGCTTGTTTCTTCCACTGTGCAGAAGCTTTTTATTGATAAAGTCCCAACAGTTCATTTTTGCTTTTGTTTCTCTTGCCTCTGAAGATGTGTCTATTAAGAACTTGCTACTGCCGAGGTGCCTGGGTGGCTCAGTGGGTTAAAGCCTCTGCCTTTGGCTCAGGTCATGATCCCAGGGTCCTTGGGATCAAGCCCTGCATGGGCTCTCTGCTCGGCAGGGAGCCTGCTTCCTCACCTCTCTGCCTACTTGTGATCTTTGTCTGTCAAATAAATAAATAAATAAATAAATAAATCTTTAAAAAAGAAAAAAGAAAAGAACTTGCTACTGCCTAGGTCAAAGGGAGTGTTCCCAGTGTTCTTCTCTAGGATTCTGGGGGCTTCCTGTCTCACATTTAGGTCTTCCGTCCATTTTGAGCTTATTTTTGCATATAGTGTAAAAAAGTGGTCCCGTTTCATTCTTCTGCATGTGGCTGTCCAATTTTTCCCAGCACCATTTGTTGAAGAGACTGTCTTTTTTCCATCAGATATCCTTTCCTCCTTTGTCATAGATTAGTTGATCATATAGTTTTGGGTCCATTTCTGAGCTGTCTATTCTCTTCCATTGATCAATGTGTCCATTTTGCAGCCAGTACCATTCTGTCTTGAGACTACATTTTTGTAATACAGCTTGAATTCAGAATCCTCATGCATCCAGCTTTGGATTCCTTTTTTTAGACTGCTTTGTTATTTGGGGTCTTTCGTGGTTCCATACAAATTTTAGGATTGTTTGTTCTAGCTATGTGAAAAATGCTCCTGGTATTTTGATAAGGATTGACTTAAATGTGTAGATTGCTTTGGGTAGTATAGACATTTTAGTTTTGTTTAGTTTAGTTTCTAGATATGCAATTAGCCATTATTAGCTTTTGATGTAGTGTTCAATGATTCATTAGTTGTGCATAACACCCAGTGCTCATCATATCACATGCCCTCTTTAATGCCCATATCTCAGTTACCCCATCCCCTCACCCGCCTCCCCTCTGAAATCCTCAGTTTGTTTCCTGGAGTTAAGAGCCTTTCAGGGATTGTCTCACTTGCTGATTTCTGCCCATTATATTTTTTTCCCTCCCTTCCTCTATGATCCTCTGTGCTATTTCCTATATTCCACATATGACTGAAACTATATGATAATTGTCTTTCTCTGCTTGACTTATTTCACTTAACGTAATCCCTTCCAGTTCCATTCATCTCGATGCAAATGATGGGTATTTATCCTTTCTGATGGCTGAATAATATTCCATTGCATATATGAACCACATCTTCTTTATCCTTACATCTGTTGAAGAACATCTGGGCTCCTTCCACTGTTTGGCTATTGTGGACATTGCTGCTATGAACATTGGAGTGCATGTGCCCCTTCTACATCTGTATCTTTGGGCTAAATACCCAGTAGTGCAGTTGCTGGGTCATTGGGTAGCTCTATTTTTAAAGTCTTGAGGAACCTCCATACTGTTTTCCAGAGTGGCTGCACCAGCTTGAAGCCACTCTTACCACCAACAGTGTAAGAGGGTTCCCCTTTCTCCACAGCCTCACCAACATTTGTTGTTCCTTGTCTTGTTAATTTTAGCCATTTTGACTGGTATAAGTTGGTATCTCATTGTGGTTTTGATTTGGATTTCCATGATGACAAGTGATGTGGAGTATTTTTTCATGTGTCTGTTAGCCATTTATATGTCTTCTTTGGAAAAGTGCCTATTCATGTCTTCTGCCCATTTCTGGACTGGATCATCTGTTTTGTGGGTACTGAGTTTGATAATTTCTTTATACATCTTGGATATCAGCCCTTTATCTGTAACATCATTTACAAATATCTTCTCCCATTCCGTGGGTTGCCTCTTAGTTTTTTTGATGTTTCCTTTGCTGTGCAAAAGCTTTTTATTTTGGTGAAGTCCCAAAAGTTCATTTTTGCTCTTTTAGGATGGAATGTTCTACATAGTTCTGTTAAATCTTTCCACAGAGTCCCTGTGTTTATTGTGGGGGATGGGGGTGGAAAATGGCACCTGCCAGCTCCCTTGTTTTCAGAGAAGTCCTGTAACATGTTCCAAAATCATTACAAATAGGTCTGTCTCCCATTTGTCCCCTGGCATTGTGTGAACTGCCATTTTCATGTTGCCTTCCATGTGGACTACTATCTCTTGAAGGGATGCAACCCAGCTATCACTCACACTCCTGGCCAATCCTGTGGTGAGTCAGCATATTTTTTAAGCTCCAGGCTCCAAGTCCCAACTGTTTTTACAAACTCATGGATTTCAGTCCCTCTGGTTTTTAAAGCCAGATGTTATGTGGTTTAGTATTACCCCTCTGAGCTCAGGATGGGAAAGACCATTTCTCTGCCCTCTCCATGTGTGTCCTCCTTGGGGCAGTCTCCCTCCACCTTTCTGACCTTCCTAACCTATGAGATGCAGCTTCTTCACTGTATTTAGTGATGGAGTTTGTTCTGTCAGTCTTTGGATCACTTCCTACTTTATTGACTTGGATACTGACTTAGTTTTAAGCATGGGATGTGCTGATCTCAGGGTCCTCCTACTGGGTCATATTCCTGATTTGTAACTTGTGTGAAAACATATGTAGTCCTGCCTCAAATGTTTTTCCC